AAAAAAAAAAAAAAAAAAAAAAAAAAAATTCGAAATCAATTTAATTGAAAATATGCATACATATATGACGATATATTATATAATTAAATTGTTATACATCCTGTTTAACTGCGTTTTCTTTGACAATTATAATAATAAAAAAAAAAAAAATGTGAATTTATATATATATATATATATATATAAATATATACGACGATAATTAAAGCAACGAGCATTTTTGCTCAATAAACACTTTGTTTAAATTGTAAAAATTTGTATATTATTTATTACATAGTTACAATGTCATGTGTCAATTTTACTAAAAAATTTAGATAATTCGAGAATTTTTTTTTTAATCTTGTTAATTAAATTTCAATCCTTTATTGAGGATAATGTATAATTATTTTTTATTTAGACATGGAATTATTACAGCTTGAGAATGAATGTGTAAAAATTTTTGATGATTATGTTGATGTTTCTGTCTTGGATTGACTGACTTCCAAAAAGGCCTTGGAGTTAAATGATTGTCTTTTTTTCCAGCAATCGCAGAGGCTGTAGATGAAATGATAATAATTTAAAAAAAAAAAGATATATGTACGATATTTAAATTATTATTATGATAAATAATTTTACTGGATGTCCATGATGGATATATTTCAAGTTTATCATTTGCTATAGCTGAATTAACACCGATCGATAGTTTTGGGCCTGGTTCAAGTATTGCTCTTGATATTGATCGTTCAAATGCCGGTGGTAAATTTAAAGAAGCTATTATAATATTAGTATATTAATATAAATGAATAAAAAAAATTATTTTTTTTTATTACATACTTTTAATGTCATCGCTTAAACTGATTTTGTTATGTGTTTTTCTCAGTGCCAACTGCGATTGTTTATTATTTTTTAATTTATTTAAAAAATATTTATTCATTTGAGATATTGATTTTCCATCCAATATTCCTATATATACAGTTTTATTATATTAGATATAAATAAAATTAATAAATTTTTAATAGAATAATTAATATTATTTATATGATATATACTTAACGAACAGCTGTTGGCAATAATATTTTCTCGATATCTAAGTTTATAAGTAACAGGATTATTTTCCAATTGCAGTTCCACTAGTGATTTTAATACTTTAACTGTTTCAATTACATCAATTATTTCACTTATATTATTATTTTTAGCTATTAAAATTTCTAAATTATACAAACAGCTAAGTGGCTTCAAGTAACATATATTATTTCCAGTAACGTTTAAAATTTTCAATTTACACTACACAGTATGAAATAAAATTATTATTATTTTATAAAATAATAATTGTTGGATTTTTTGCTTACCGATAAAGTATTTAGACTTTTTGGATCAAAAATAAGTGATTCTCCAGTTAAAAGCCGTTGATTTTCAATATTTAATTCAACTAAACTTTCCAAATTTTCCATTTCTTCAACTACACAAATATTATTGTATCCAATAAATAAACATTTTAAGTGATATAAATTATTTAAATTTTCAATTTTATAAATATTATTATGTTGAAGATATAAATGAGTTAGATTAATGGTAAATTGTAAATTTTCTATTTTTGAAATGTTATTATTTTGCAAATATATTACTCGTAAATTTTTCCAACCAGATAAATTTCCCTAAAATAATTCAATTTTTAAATTATTTATAAAGCTATCTTTCATATTTATTTTTTATTTATAATTAACTTACAATAGCATCAACAAATTTATCATTCATGTAAAGATGTGTCATTTTACGTAAATTATTTTTTGATATTCCCTTTGTTAAAGATTTAAAATATTGTGTACGAGCATACTCTTTTTCAATATAATTTGTTGTTAATAACACCATTTTATAAACTCATTAATTTATAAATTATTATCACTTATGACAGTTTCAAGCTATTTTTCATTTTTCATCTATTGATTAAACAAAAGCTATGGTATGTACATATATATATTTATAAGTAAGTAAATCAAAATCAGTAGGTAATGGTACACATCAAGTGTATACTTATATAGAAGAGGAAACACTATAAATTTATTTATAATTACTTGTAAAAATTTTATTATATTTGTTTTATTAAAATATTATTATACAGATAGACAAAGTGTAATAAATAAATAAATATGTATACATGTAATAGAAATGTGTAGATTTAAAATCGGTACTTTTAAAAAACTATGTCCAGTGTCTGCATGATTTTCAAATATAAATAAGTGATGATCTGATTGCACAAATTTTTGTTAAATAATTCTATGGCACACAGTCTAATAGTAAAATAATTTCACAGTATACAAATGCGATCACTTGTGTATAAAAAATTATTTTCAATAATAATGATAATAATAATATTTTAAATATTCATCTTTAATATATACTCAAAATAATTGTGATGATTGTTGTCAGAGGATTTATTTAAATTTCAGACAATAAATAACGGTAAATTTGGCAGTTTAATTATTATTATTATTATTATTATTAGTTATTTAGTCGATAAATATTATTAACGCACACGCACAACACACACCGATGCGCACAGAGTGAACAATAATATATATTTAAAAATGTATATTTACAAATAATTTATCAAAAAAAAAAAAAGAAAAATATAATAAATAATAATATTCTACGATCTTGGTAATTATTATTATTATTATTATTATTATTATTATTATTATTATTATTATTATTATTATTATTATTATTATTATTATTACTATTGTAATAATTATCAATATGAATATTGGTGGTGGATTAATTTAAAAAAATTACCCAACAGCAGATCGGTTACATAAATCACTGTACGCAGAAGCTGTAATAACACCGTGATTTTGATTATAGTTGTTTATATTATTGTAACGTAAATTTTTAGTATTAGATTGTTTTTGAATAACAATTCCATGTTTAAGATGATTATTTTTAATAATTTGACTGCGCGTTAATTTATATCCACTTATTACTTGATTAACAGTAGTATCATTTTTACACCGGTTATTATTATTATTAATAATAATGTTGTTAACTTTTCTTTCTCCCTTTATCCGATTGTTTATTGCACCTTTTGTTGTTGTTGTTGTTGTTGTTGCTCTAAAAGGTATTGTTTGATTCAAGTAATTTTGTATTACTTGACTTTGAGATGAATTTCTATCGATTACATTAGTTCCATTTTCTCCATTTCCCATAGCAAAATGTTTAGTAATATTGTTTGTTGTTCCAACAAGATAATTATTAACAAAATGATAACTACTTAATACTGATGGGCTATTATCCTCATTATTTTCTCGTTTAATCAATGAATATCTTGTTTTAACGTTACCATTTATTATTTCCGAATATTTGTTGCTGTTATTTTTGTAACTATTGTTATCAATAAATCCATTATATTTCACACTACGGCGTAATAATTTTTTCGGGTGATTTATAGATATTGTTGTATTTAATTTATTGTTAACTCCAGACTGAAAAAATATGTAAAAAGATTTTTATTAGATTATTTTACACACCGCAATATTAATGTTTTATAATTATTAGTAAATTTTCAATTTAATAAACAGAAAATAATTGTTGTATTGATAATAATACGCGATTTATTTTTATTTCAAAAAAATTAAATCATGCAAAAATAATAATTCAAATAATATAAACGGAATTTTTGTGTAGTTGGAATATTTACAATACCTAAATATATTCCATATGGCAAGTAGCCTGTAACGATACAATTTCAAAAGGTGATTTACAAATAATAAATACACCTTGATGTATACATATGAATTATTAAATAAATATAATATTTTCTTACTGCTGTCATTTGATCAGATTGCACAGAAGGTTGATATTTTATAGATTGTTGTTGTTGTTGTTGTTGTTGTTGTTGTTGTTGTTGTTGTTGCTGTTGCTGTTGCTGTTGCTGTTGATGATGATGGTGATGAAAACATTGACAACTTTTAGTTTGATTAGGGGGTACATTACGATTTAAATTTCCATTTATTAAGTTATGAGCGTACTGGGATATATTTTTACTTTCTGTAATTTAATTTTCATTGTTATTAGTATTATTATTATTTCAAGTGCAATAAAATTAATGAAATAAAACAAACCAAAATTGTAGGATTGTTTAAAAGATTCATTAAATTCTCTCTCTTTTCGTACATCATTGTTCGAAAATTGAAGATTTTTTTTAGCAACAGCGTCACCTTGTCCTGTATCTTTCCGAATATGCTCCGAAATCCGTCTGACTTTAGGTTTACACTTGGTTAAAAAGTTTTGTTTTATCCTATATAAGAAAATATAAAAGTATATATGATTATATAAAATATAATATAGTCAATAAATATTGTTTTTTTTTTTACATATTTTTATGTTTTCGATGTTTTTCATCCATCATAGCATATAGTTTATTCCGATAATCTTCAACCCTCAATTGAACGTCATCACGCAATGGAGGTATAACATTAGCACCACGCTCAGGTTCATTAGCCCGATGATGAAAACTTAAATAATTAACATAACACCATCAATGACGAGACAAATAATTTATTTTATATTAATTAACACTTACTCAGCAACGTATGGATGTTCAAGCGCTTCAACAGCAGTTAATCGATTATTTGGATTAAATACAATAAGTTTTTCAATTAAATCAAGTGCCTTTGTTGGTACATCAATAAATAATTGCTGTAACGTACGTCGTGATGTATTAGGAACTTTTTCTAATAAATTTGATCCATATCCAGCGCTTACAGAAATAATATCTATAAAAAAAAAAAAAAAAAAAAAAAATAAGAAATAAATACAATAATAATAATAATAATGTGATATAATTGCAACCTTCTGGTGTAGGGGGTGGTAAAGTTGCCATTATTCTCTCAACTTGATTAATTGTTGAAGAGCCGGGAAAAAGTGGCTTTTCAAGTAACATTTCACCGAGAATACAACCCAGAGACCACATATCTATTCCCTTTGTATATTTTTTCGATGCTATCAATATTTCTGGTGCTCTATACCATCTTGTTGCAACATAATCCGTTAAAGTAGGGTCACTACCAGTTTCTCCGTCTCCTTCACCGATTTGCGTGACTGATCTAGCCAGCCCAAAGTCTGCTATTTTACAATGGCATTGAGCATTAAGAAGAATATTTGAGGGCTAAAAATATAAAAAATAAATAATCAATATAATGTATCTATATATTTATTAGATATATAACTTACTTTTAAATCTCTGTGGATAACATTACCCGAGTGAATATATTTGGTAGCTTTAAATAGTTGATACATGATAAATACTTTGTGAATATCTTTCAAAATATTACCTCTTTTGATAACATTGTGTAAATCAGTCTCTGTTAAAAATTAACAACATTATATCATTTTAATTTAAATGTATATAATAATAATAATAATAATAATAATAATATTGATAATAATATATACCCATGAATTCAAAAACTAGGTAAATATCACGATCATTGTTAGCTTTTTCAAGTCCAATCAATTGAATAATATTTTCATGATTTGAAAAAGATAAAAGAAACATTATTTCACGAAATGTTCGTTGAGCATCTGTTTGATTTCTAAAAGCATCAAATATTTTTTTCACGGCTACTGTGTCCTTTGATTTTTTATCAACAGCTTTCCAGACAATCCCATAAGCCTGTCATCATCATCAATAATAATAATAATTATTATTATTAAATTTTTTTACTAATATTATATATAAATACACAGTTGTTTTATCTATATCTCCAAGCACTACATAAATATTTAAATACACAAGTATATAAAATGGATTAAAAAAAATAATCATTATTTATTGATTATATATTAATTTTAATTAAAAAAAAATATAATTACCCCCTTTCCAAGTCGTTTTATAATATTGTAATGCTTAGTAACATGACTATCTATTTCGGATAATTTTTCACCATTATTTTTTTTTTCTGACATCTTGTTTGATATTATTAATTTTTAATTATATAAGATTAAGTTTCAGAGGATTTCAAAATTTCAAATAATAATTGAATAAGTACCGGCTGTTGACCTGCTGCCTTGACAGCTGTTAATTATTTTTAACAAAAACACCAACACCAACAATTTATTTTTTCAGGATATATATTAATATTATGTTTTAATAATATTAACATATTTAGTGACCATTAAAATCACCATGAATCAACATTTAATTGGTTAGTTATTTTTTGACAGGCATACAGGTATACACAACATTTAACACATATTCACTTGGTAGTCTCTTTCGTTGTTATGTTTATACTTAATAAATTTATGGTTGCTAGGCAAAACAATACAATTATTCTCGCGGTGGTTTGTGTCGTCATTTCCTTTTATAATATACAATATTCTTATATTTATTTTCATTTATTGCCGCTTATTAATTAATTAATAAATCAATTAAAAAAAAAAAAAAAGAAAAAATACTAATTTGCGTATTAATAATTTTTCAATCACCTGTCTTTATTATTCATTTTTTAAATATACATTTATTATCATTTTTTATATTATAAAATAAATTTTTCGTATATTATTTATCAATAATCAAAAAAACAAATGTATAACGATGACTAATATTTAGAATAAATCATGTAAAAATGAAAACAATTATTATAATTATAAAGATAATGAAAATTACATATTTAGTGTTATTATTATTAAAGAAAAAAAAAAAATTGAGAAAATGCATATTAAATGGTCCCAAAATTATTATTATTAGCATATTCAAAAATATATATATTGGGTTTATTATTATTATTTTATCAAAACACTATAATAATAATAATGATGATGATAATAATGAAAGTATTTAATTCAAATTAGGAAAATAATAAAAGTATTACTTATTAATATAATTATAAGAAAATAGTAGATAATTGAATTGCAGTGTTTTTAACAAAATGAAGAATTCAAACTTTAGTGATCCTTAATATGAGAGTATATGTTATAATACATTAATATAATATGCATTATGAATTACGCGACGCTTGTTACAAAAACACCTTATAAAATGGATTTCGTACTTTTTATCAAAACGTGTTTTTTTTTTTTATACTTAACAATTTTTATAGTTAAATATATCCAATTTACTTTCTTGGCTGTTGAATAACAATGGGCCTAGAAGAATTAGCTGATCTGGCATCATGAGTTGGAGTTGGTTTTTCATGAAAATGTTGAATAGCTTCTGGAGGAAAATCGGCGTTACCTTTTGCAGGAGCACCGCTTATCATTATTGTTTTAGGAGGACTAAATAATGATTATTATTATTATTATTATAATCGGAGAATATAAAAAAAAAAATAAATATATTGATGGTTCTTAATTAAGTAACAAATAATTATTTATTACCTGCTTGATGGTTTACTTTCAATAGAGTCCTTGCTGGGTTTAGCCTCACGTTCGTCCCGTGGTGTTTTGTGCTGAGTTATTCTCATACCTCCAGCTTTTACTAATAAAATATTAATAATAATATTAATTAAAAAAAAAAAAAATTTGAAATTTTATCATAATTATAGTTATTATTATATATAACGTCGTTATTTGTTCCAACTTGTATTATATATTATTATTATTATTTTTTTTTTTAATGGAATATTTTTGCTACTAACCTGCTGGTGGATGTCCGGCTTTCAATTTGCATTCGTCTGGACTCGACATTGTGAGTTACTCTAAATAATGATGAAAAAAAATATATTTAAATAAAATAATAAATGACTGAACGGTGGAACAATATGTTGCGTTGTAATTAATAAGATACGTACTTTGAAATACTTTTGAGATTGCAGTATGTGTATACAATAATTTTTGTCAACTGTTTTGTGAGGATCTTGAATAAGTATACGTATGACGCACTGCGAAAACGTACGACGTATTTATATACTTATATTTGCTATGACTCTATATTACACATCGCACACACTTGCACACATTTATAAAAGTTATATACGCGCATACATACATATATACCCTGTATATATATGCATGTATATATCGGTGTAGTAAAAAAGACAATTCCGTTTCACGATATTTGTAAGCTTTTAATAAAAAAATACCAGTAACCAATAAGCATTAAAACATAAAAGTACTACAAATCAACAATACTTACATAGACAAAGACTTAAAATTTATATTTTAATAACTGTGTATTTCGTTTGTTTTTTCTTCAATAAAACAATAATAATAATAATAATAATAATGATAATAATAATTAGCAGTGTTATAATAATATTTTTTACCAACACAGCTCTGATATCGTTCAAAAAACAACCGCCAGCGCTTTACTTTAATTACTGTACATATGTTTTTCAATAAAACTACTTATTTCATTTTTTATAAGTATACCAATAAAATAAAAATAATGTCAGTAAATATGGATTATATTTACTTAATTTATTTATTATGTTTTAAGTACTGGTCTTTTGTAAAGATTTAAAGATAATGAAAAGGAAAAATTTTTAAAAATTAACTTACAGTGCCATCTGTAGATGACTCGAAAAAGTATTTAGTGCACTGAACATTGAGGTTTATATATGTATATATATAATAATAATAATGATGATAATATATATAACAAAGTGTCAAGAACGCTCTTGCCCTTGTCACAAGAGAGAAAGAGGGGAAGATAGAAAAAGAAGAGAAAAAAAAAGATAAATAGAAAGAAAAGAATATATTTGAAGATTGAAAAGAGGAGCAAGAGAAGTTTAAAGTTGTAGTTAAGAGTAGAGAGGAATTGTAAAGCAACGACTGGCTGGTTGGTTGGTTGGTTGTTCTTAGTTCTTGGCTGGTGGCTGATGCTGATGGCTGGTGAATGTGATTGGACTGGAGTTGTGGATCTTAGTTGATCTGAAAGTTCATGAGTGTTCATAAGAGTGATCAAAGCTGTGGATTACTGTAGATCCGCGATCGTATGTGATATATAGAAGTTTAGGAAGCTAGTTATTCCTTGGAATTGTTACCTCGGCGGGTTACCTTTTATGGTAATCCAGTTAATAATAAAAAAAAAATAAAAAATTACGATATATATATTTGTAATGCTCTATTAAAGTGTAAACGCAACAACAATACGGAATATAGTATTATTTTTATTAATTTAAAAAGTAAGTCGCTTATTCTTATAGTGATATTTTATTTATTTTAATTAGTTAAATTAAATAAGTACCTAGAAATAATAATTTTAGTTTTTTATCAAATATTAATCTCAACAATCGATCCATTAAAATTAAAAATACTTGAAATAAGTATCAACTAGTGTCACAAGTTACACGGGAGTTTCATTTATTTTTCTTTTAATTTTCTCTCTCTTTGATGGTATCATCACCATCGATACCATAAAAGGACTGTGTTTTTTAATTTATATAGTTGTAATTCGTTTGATTACTGAGAGGGTGTTGAGTAATGTAATATGGGGAACATTGGTTGGAAGGAAGCGTGGGAGAGCTGGTTTTAACCGCACCTAAACTCCTCATATCACATTTTAGTTTCATTTTTTTTTTCTTTCTTTTTTTGTGTCAGAAATTTAACACCGCGTTAATAAATGCTATGTGATGCACTTACCTTCAACAAACTAAATAAAAACAACACATTTTTATTATTTTTTTTTTTTTTCCCCATTATTATATATAGAATTTTAACTTTTTTTTTTTTTTTTTTTTTTACTATTAAAAATGGAAAAATCAACAATAATGTTAAAATAATTACAATAAATCTATTAATGATTATTAATAAATATAGATGTTAATACTATACAAGTATTTTGAAAACGTTAAATAAAAATAAAAGAAAGCATCATCATAAGATCATCTAAAGCGTGTGTCTGTATTAAAAGTTATTCTGCTGCCCTGCCAAGTATACTGACTCAGTGTCTTAATAATAGATTTGACTCAGTAAATGTATATAAGTATGTCGCACTTAGTTGTCCCATTTTTAATTTTATTTTACATTATATATTTAAATTATTTAACATTTTATTAATACATATTTATTATTTGTTACAGTAATCATGGATACAATATATAAGATATTAATTGGTGCATATTTGGCGATATGTATTACTGGAGTAACAGCTACTTTTCCTCCGCCTGAAAGATTGACAGGAATGAATCCATGTATCAGTAAACAAACTTGTCATGAATGCATACAAACGCCACATTGTGCTTGGTGTGCAGCTCCAGTGAGTATTATTGTTATACATATATTTATATATAATTTTACTAAAAAAATTAAATTTTTATAATATAAATTGTTTGTTTATTTTTATTATTTAAACAGAAATTTAATGAAAAACGTTGCTTTTTACCAAATATAAATACTAAAATATTTGCAACTTGTCCAGAAGAATTTACATGGAATCCTGACAATGTATTTAGTATGGTAAGACATCGTAATTTAACAAAAGGTGGATATATTGCCGGAGGTGAAGGCTCTGGATTTATCGGATCAGGTTCATCATCATCATCATCATCATCTTCTAGTTCTTCTTCTTCTTCTTCTTCTTCTTCTTCTTCTGGATCTTGGAGCAGTAGTAGCTCCTCAAGTAGACAGGAAGCAGTTCAGATATGGCCTCAAGAAGTTAATTTAAAACTTAGAATAAATGAAGCACACAGAATGTCATTTGCTTATTCTCAGGCTGAGGATTATCCGGTAGATCTTTATTATCTTATGGATTTAAGTAAGTCTATGGAGGATGATAAACAAAAATTATCAGATTTAGGACAACTTCTTGTTGAAAGTATGAGTAAAATAACAAGCAATTTTCGTTTGGGATTTGGTAGTTTTGTTGATAAAGTTGTAATGCCATATGTTAGTACAATGCCTAAAGCCCTTATTGAACCTTGTGATGGATGTGCAGCACCTTATGGTTACAAAAATGTTATGAGATTATCAACAGATACCAGTGCATTTGCTAGTTTAGTAAGTAATGCATCAGTATCTGGTAATTTAGATGCACCAGAGGGTGGTTTTGACGCAATTATGCAGGCTATTGTATGTAGAAATGAAATTGGTTGGCGTGAAAAAGCTCGAAGATTATTAGTATTTTCAACAGACGCTGGATTTCATTATGCTGGTGATGGTAAATTGGGAGGAATAATACGACCAAATGACGGTTATTGTCATCTTGATAATACTGGACTTTATACTCATTCTTCAATACAAGATTATCCGAGTATATCACAAATAAATTTAAAAGTTAAACAAAATGCTATTAATATTATTTGGGCAGTAACTGAAGAACAAATAAGTGTTTATAAAAGATTAACTAAACACGTTGAGGGTTCATTTGCTGGTAAATTATCTAATGATTCAAGTAATATTGTTGAATTAATAAGAGAACAATATGATAAAATATCAAGCTCTGTTGAAATGAAAGATACTGCTAGTAGTGTTATTAAAGTACGTTATCTTTCAAGTTGTTTAAATGACGGACCACCAATAGAAACATCTAAATGTGATGGATTAAAAGTTGGTACTAAAGTTGAATTTATTGCGGAAATAGAGGTAACTAGTTGCCCAACAAATCGATCTGAATGGAAACAAAAATTTGATATATATCCGGTTGGAATAAATGAAACGTTGACAGTTAATTTAGAAATGCTTTGTGATTGTGAATGTGAACATGAGGGGCCAATGTATGAACCTAAATCATCTGAATGTAATGGTGTTGGTACATTAAAATGCGGAGTTTGTGAATGTTATGATGGATTCTTTGGTAAACATTGTGAATGCAGTTCACATCAGGAAATAACTGGATTTGATCGTAATTTCCAATCCTGTCGACCGGATAATACTTCATTGGTTGATTGTTCTGGTCGTGGAACATGTGCTTGCGGTCAATGTGAATGCGAGGAGCGTGAAAATCCAGAAGAGGTATTTTTAATATTAACATATATTAGACACTTGTTTTTTTAATTAATTAACTAATTTATTTATTTATTTATTATTTTTTTAGATTATTTCTGGTCATTTTTGCGAGTGTGATAATTTTTCATGTGATCGTGATGAAGGACATTTATGTTCAAATCACGGTACATGTCAATGTGGACAGTGTGTTTGTAATGCTGGTTGGATTGGTCCAAGCTGTAAATGTCGATCCTCAAACGATACTTGTATTGCTCCAGGTACTATCAACGGCCTTTTATGTTCTGGACACGTAAGTATTATTTTATTATTATTATTATTATTATTATTATTATTATCATCATCATTAAAAATTTATTAATTTTTTTAATATACTCAGGGTGATTGCATTTGTGGTGAATGTGTTTGCCATGAAGAAGGTAATATACGTTATTCCGGTAAGCACTGTAACAAATGCCCAACTTGTCCCAGCCGATGTGAAGAGTTAAAGCCTTGTGTTCAGTGTCAAATGTATAAAACTGGTAATTTAACAGAACAAGAGTGTGCTAAAGTTTGCACAGAATTTGTACCTGAGCCTGTTGAAGCTGTAATTGTTGATGTTGATAATGATGAAGTACCGTGTTATGGTACTGATGAATACGATTGTAAATACAATTTTGTATACTTTTATGATGGACAAAATTGCCTTAAAGTTAAAGCACAGGCCGAACGAGAGTGTCCTTCCCCGGTATACGTACTTGGGATAGTGCTTGGAGTAATAGCAGCTATCGTTCTTATTGGATTAGCATTTTTACTACTGTGGAAACTTTTGACAACAATTCATGATCGAAGAGAGTTTGCCAAATTTGAAAAAGAACGAATGATGGCTAAATGGGATACGGTAATTTACTTTTTCCTTTTTTTAAATCTTTATCCCAATAAATATAATTTTCTGTTTTATTTTTTATACAGGGGGAAAATCCTATTTATAAACAAGCAACGTCAACATTTAAAAATCCTACTTATGCTGGCAAGTAGATAGATAAGTCGTTTAATAGTCAACTTTTTCCATTTCTAACTCTAAAAAAATTTGTATCTTCCATATTTTGTGGAAATAGTTGATGACAAATTATTCATTATTTACATTATAATGATAATAATGGTATAAAAATTAGTGAATATTTTAAATTTTGATACTTTTATTATTCTTCGTATACTGCCATATAAAATGTACTAGTTTAATTAACTACGATGAAAGCGATGTGAATAATGACAACATGTAAAGAGAACGTTCAGTAAAATTTTTTCTCTTTCTATTTATTTTTACTGATATTATATATATATATTTTTTTTTTTAAATATTAGACTGTTTTTTTTTATCTTTTTTTTGTTTTTTTTTTTTGTAACAGTTTTTTAAAAAACAAATATGATAAATAATTATTTAATTAAATATCCCCATATTAGATTATTTTGAAATGTTATTTTATTATTAATATTAAAGTGCCTTTTCTATATAACTAAATAAATATATATACACATAAAACGATAAATTTATTAATGACATTGTAATAATCTATAAATATTAATGCATTTAAATAACTTACAAAAGAAAAATCATTTTTATCTTTAGAAATAAATAACATTATAATTAGTTATTTTTTTAAAATTAAGTTGCTTAAATTTAAATTTCTCAGTGTATAACAAAATTTTTATAACAAGGCCAAAGTGACTTTTATCGAATTTGTTTTTATTAATTTTAATAATTCTATTCAAAAATTTTTTTTTTTTTTTTTTTTTTTTTTTTATTTATTAAGTAAAACTAACAATAATTATGTGAGAAACTAATTATCTACAAGGATATTTAAACACTAGAAAATTATGTACCCAATTGCATATTGAATTGCCATAGTTCATTGCATTTTTTTCTTAATTTATTTTTAAATATCTTATATTAATTGAATAATTAATTTTAAGACTACTATTATGTTTATTTTACTATTTCAAATATTTACAAAATGATGATCTTTTAACGAACAAAAATTTTTTTTTTACCTTTTTTTTTTTTTTTTTTTTTTTTTTTTTTTTTATACAAGTTTATAAGTATAGTATAATATAAAAAATAACATAATTTTGGGTGCCGACATATCGATAACCACTCTTTTAATGATACTATACAGACTATATATACATTTATAAATTAATTTGATTTCAATCATTTAAATGAATGAAAGTAAACGTGTAAAGTGAAAAAAAAATATATATACAAATCGTTATTTTTTTTTCTTTTTATTTTATTTATTTATTTGATGATAATTTTTGTTAACAATTGAGGTGAAAGCTAAGATATTTATTCAAAGGAACTTGATAACCATTTAGGATCCTACCACAAATTCTTTAGTTTAAAAGAACAAGAATAAAAAACAAAAATAAAAACATTGTACGAAATGACTGAGTAAGAATTATCTAAAATATACAAAAGTGAGTGTATGTCAAAAATGTGTAATAAATAAATGTTTAACATACTATTTAGTCGTTATAATTAAATCCACTAATTAAATAAGTATTAATAATATGTATTTTTAATATGTAGTGTTGATTTAATTAATAAATAAAACGACATCAGGAGAAGAAAAAACAAGCAAAGATAGAGTGTTTTGGGGTCAGGGTAAAATGAAAATGAAAGGACATAAGGTTACTTAATGCTTAATAAAATTGGAGCAATAGCTAAATAAGTTGCCTTATGACAAAATGTAATCGATCACCGGATCAAAGCTTTATCACCAGTTTAGTTGATGAATTTATAAAATATATAAAATAAAAATAATATATATGACGTTTAGTATCGTCGTTAATATTATTTAAATAATATCAATATAAAAAAGAATTATTAATTGTTATTTGTTATAATTAACAATAATAAAAACATGAAAAAAATGTAAATAATGTTGAAATAAATGAGAGGGTTATTATTTTAAATAAACACATAATGTCAATAGATATTATTAAAAAGGTGTAATGTAATGGGAATGGGGTTGAAAATAATTAAAGTTACTACCTCACTATAGATAGAATAGTCAAAGTATGGATAGTGACTATTGCTATTATAGTAAGAATAGAAGACAATAATAATGATAATAATGAAGAAAGTGACGACACAATGACGTTCAAAATATATATATATATATATATATATATATATATATTATATTTATATACAAGTCTGCACACACTGTAGACTATGTAAACTTGACGAATAGAAGGCAGATGGAACGAGTGTAACATGCATAAGTATGAGTTGCAAAGTTGCAAACAAACATTCAGTTCTTTCCTTTCGCCTTTCGCCTTTCGGTCATTTTCACATTTTCAGTATTTCAGTCAATTTCAGTGGTAGTGGTAGTGGTAGCAGTAGTGGGGTAACCACATGGTACAGACAACAGACACAGCCATATCACACATCACATATAAAAATAGTCCAATATTTACGCAGTTTACAAAAAATCTCAATTCCGTTGATGATAAATATTTTTATTTATTTGGATAAACTAAATTGACAAACTTTACGTGTGTGAATATACTGTTTTAATATCTAGACAGACAAAGAACAATATTTTTAACTCTAGTACAGTGAAAATAGAACATAAACTTGACTATATTATAAAAGGATTGAGTGTGATGAAATATTATTTTTAATTTATTAAACAAAAAGAAAATAATAATAATAATAATAATAATAATAATAATAATAATTAGTTTGCATATTTAAGTAAGCTTAATAAGAGCACTTATAAATAATAAAAATAGAGAGTGAGAGTGATCTGGTAGCCGCTGTTGAACAAGAGTGTTATTTAACTAGCTTCACAAAATAACAAATAACGAATAATATAACCCATCAGTTATTGGTGACGAGGAATTAAGAAAATTAAGTTTGTTCAGCGAAAAAAAGAAAAAAATAGTCAAAAAAGGGGTGAATGTTAATTTTTCATCAGCAATATAACGAGCTGCTCATCAGGGCGACAATAATATTGTACTATACTTATATTGTACATTTAATATAAATCGTTTTTGTGATCAACTCCAAAAGAATTAATTTAAATAATTGTTTGTTTACTTATGTATATAATATAAATATAATATATACATATAAACCAATAGAATTATGGAAAAATTATTAAAAACAGTAGGATCGTGTTTCAAGTGGATCAAACAACTGCCTGAGGTTAAAAATTTTATGGGTGACGAAAAATCCTTGGATAGTCCTGATAATCACCAGCAATGTCGAAAGAAAAATTCAACTTGCCATGATTTAGAAACTTCAAAAAAAATTTTTACTATTATTGAGAGTATATTATTGTGGGAAAACACTTTCAACAGTATAGCTGTTGTTGCTGTTTTTAATATACTATTTTGGTGAGTTTTTTAAAATTTTATTTTCATGATTAAATATTTAATTTTATCGTTGTTATCATCGTTATCAATGGCAAACATAAACACATCTATAAGTATACATATGTACATATATTCTGAAGCGCATAATCAATTAATAATAATACGTAAATTGTAAGTCATTGTCCATAATATTAAGCGCTTAAACCCAAAGTACATGTATTTATTATTTTTTATAAATTATTATGCTACTATATGTTGGATACACTTTTGTAATATTATAATTAAATTGTCCGAAATTTTAATAATTAAAGATAGTAACTTTATACAATTATAAGTACAAATTATTTGCTCATAATATATACATATATATTAAAGTATATACGTTGATAATCACGTGATTTGTTATTTTATGTATCATCATAATTTCTTATTTACTTTGATAATTCTTTCTAGTTGTTATTTGATAAAGTTCTCTAAATATATATATATATATATATATATATATAAATGGTTATTAAATATTTGCATTAAAATATCTATAATACTTTGTGAGGATATGATATTTTATTCATTGTTAATTAATTAACAATTTAATTATCATCAATACCACTTAAGACGTATATTAGTGTATTTATGTTATTTTACAATTTTACACAATGTTGTGAAATATATTTTCTTTTTATCACCTCTGATCAAATAAACAACCAATATTATCATTATTTTAAAAATAAAATAAAAAACTCCAAGTTTACATCAGTGAATTATAAATAAACAAAAGCAATAAATTAAAAATCTCTTTGTTTTATTTTTAAAAATTTATTTTTTCATTTTTTTTTTTTTTTTTTTTTTTTTTTTTTTACAGGGGCATTGTAGTGCTGGAAATTCGTGGCTTTGCAGCAGCCAGCAGTGCTGCATTGGTTGTCGTTCTCAGCTATAGCACTCTAGAAGCACAAGTAGAAAAAGATCAGCTAAATAAATCACTATCTAATTCTACAATGTATGTGTACCATTTGTTAGTTGATTTAATGAAATATTAAACATTTATTAATAAATTAATTCATTAAAATAATTCATTTATTACAGACCAACGCAGCAGCGGGCAGAATGTATTGAAAAAATAATTATCAAAATTAAATCAGGATTTGAAATGTTGATGCTGCTAAGAAAGAATCAACCAGGAGGGGTATATATTTTATTTTCCTATTAATTTCTTCATCAACTATCAATGTAATAATGTCAACTATTTTTTTAATCAATAGTTTTGCATTGGAGTTTGTACTGCATCTATTATATTGTGGTTAATAAGCGGTGCTGTTAATGGAGTTGTTATGTTTTATATAATTTGTATGAGCATTCTATTGGGACCCGCTTTATTTGTAAAAATACCAAAAAAAATGTTTACACCAAAAGGTATTATTTATAATATTTTTTTAGTAATAAATAATTTAATGTTATTTTTATATCTTAAAAATACAACAGAATGGGAAAGTGAAATAGATGAGTTTTTGCCGGTTGTTACCGAAGATAATTTACAACTTTTGAATAGAGCGGGAGAAACTGGTGATCATTCTCCTACGCCACCCAGTGGATCATCATCAGATAATCCAATAGGTCTGTAAAACCTATTTTTTTTATTTAGATACTCTTACAATTAGGTATAAAAATAATCTATTTATTCAATTACCTAATTAATGTTTTATATTATTCATTTAAAGATCCGTTCAATGACAATGAACTTGTTGGATTAAAAATGCCGTCTCATGAAGATGGCAGCACCGATGGACTTGAGCTTTCGGAATTGGAGTTAAGTGCCGGTGAAACTGACGTAGATGGATTAAAAATTCAAAGTCGACACTTTGAAAAAGGATCTTCGTCGGAGGATGACGAAGAACTTGAACTTAAATCCAAAGATTTATCTAGTGATAGTGATGAAGGGAGTGATGAAAGCGAGTTTGAAGTTATCGATAGTCATGAAATAAACAATACTGGCAATGTTTAAATTTTTTTAATCTTATTTATAAGAAGAAAAATATAAAAAATATTGTGTATTTTAAAAAAAAAAAAAAAAAAAAAAAATAATGACTGACGGTACTTAAATTATTTATAATATATACAATCACGGTCATTAATTTGAGTAGGTTGTTCATGTTAGATAAAAGCAAAGCAGAATCGACTTAATGGCCACGATTGTAAACATATATACTTTATTTTTTAATAGTAAATTAATGCGTAGATTTGTGACTTTATTTATAATATCAATAATAATGAGGTGCTGTAAAATAAGTATAAACCAATTAAATTTGTAGAATATATATATATATATATAATATAAAAAAAAAAAAAAATTAAAAATTGCCATGAATGTTTTATTTATATAAATATCTTGGCAACAAAATTTAAGTTGATAGCATAACGTATTAATTACTGTACATATTTAATACACACAATAAAAAAATTACGTTATTTTTTGAGTCGGAATTAGGGAGAAACATCGAATTCTAATTGAAACAATTTTTTGATTAGTTATACAAGTACCATCAAGTAAAATATAAAAAAATTATGAATTCATTTCGTTAGATAAGTGTATTTTTTTTTTTAAATATATAATTAAAACGATATGAAAATAAGTTTTAATTTCAAAAGAAATTAATAATTATTTAATCATGTAACCAATCGTACTGTAGATATTCGGAATAATCTAGAAGTGATTGTTTTATGGTAAAAATGGCCTAGAAGTAAAATTTTACGACACAAATAGTCTTAATTAATTATTTGTATTGTAGTGAAATTTTTTTTTCCTCTCTATGTAATTATTAAAAAACTAAAATGCAAATAAAATATGTATATATACGTGCATAATGTATAATCGTATTTCATAAAATAAAGAAATTGGTATATTTAAAATTTTTTATTATATACAATACATACTTATAGTTTATCACATGTAACAATGTACGGTAGAAAATTTTAATCACTACTCTCAATTGATGAATTAATCTCATCTTTGTCGTCTTGGGTAACTAGTTTTGCATTTTTCCGAAGAGGAAGTACTTGGAGAAATGCATCTTGCCATGTTTTTCCTTTAGTTATTAGCAACATTATTTCGAAAACTTGAAAGAAACAAAAAGAATCATAAATATCGATAATGACTTGCAATATTAAATGTAAACAAGCTATTGGATAATAATCTATTTACCATGATTAACTGCTAAAACTTTTCGCGTTTTCATATTTAAAAATTTATCCAACGGTAATCGAGCATGTTGCACACCAGCTTGAACGGCAAGTTTATGGCATAGGCCCTAAAATAATAAGTAAATATAAAATTAATAAAAATAATGACATTTTGTAATAATGTAATTAAAAAGATTAAATTAATTTCTCACTTTGTGGCCATTATGATCTACTAAACCTCCAATTACATAAACACTATCATGATCTAATTTATCAATGATATTTTCAGATTCGCTCGTAAGGTAAATTATTTTTTTCGAATCGTATACTTTACAATATGATTCACTAAAAAATTTGACCTAAAAAGAAAATTTAATATGAAATAATATAAAAAAAAAATAAAAAAAAAAAAAAAATAAAAAAAAATATTTATGCTTGTTGTACTGACGTCCCAATGCTCGTAGCCGTTGTGTTTCTCCATTTGCTCTTTTGACTTGTTATTGAAATTAGTCAATGAAAATTGTATAGGTGCAGGGGCTCTTCTATTTAAAGTATAGCATCTTAAAATTTGTTTAATAAGTTTGGCAATATCTTTTTCAATCATTAAGTCATCAAATCCCATGTCGATTGTTATTGTTAATTTACAACTACTATTTTCCATAGTACATTTTTTTAATGATTTTCTGGAAGGTCCAAGATTTATATTATGTGCTCGAGCAAAAGCACGTTTTTCTTTAGCTTTTAATCTCTCCTTCAGCCTATCAATTATTGAAAAAGTTGTATAATAATAATAATAATAATAATTAATAATATATATATATATATATATATATATATCTTGGTTTCAATTTAATAACAATACCTTGTATGATGTAATACCTTTTTTCAGATTTATGCGCAAGCCATTTTTCTTTTTTTTTTATTTTTTTCAACTGGTTTTTACTTATATTATTTAATTCAGTTTCGCCCAATTTTTTATCAACTAGATGGGAATCCAGAATAGTTGATAAATTAGTACCTGACGGAATCGTTGTCATGTTGTTTATTAAATATGTTGAATAGTTTCGGCTTATATATTTTGAGATAATAACCTATAAAAGTACAGAAAAGATATGTTAATTATTAAGTTGAGATTGATATATTATCGATTTAAAGGAAAAAATAAATAGTATATTACATACCTAGGCCAGTAAAATAAGAAAAGTCTCAGACCACATGTAATTGTTGGCCGAGGCGAAGCCGAGGTTGACAAACATGTGGTCTGAGGCTTTACTTTTTACTGGCCAAGGTGTGTATACTATTTTTCTGCTCGACGTAGCCGGAATGTGGCAACTTTGTTTAGCGCAGCGGCCAGAAAGTTGCCACTTTTCGGCCGGAGGGCAGAAAATAAATTTATTATCTAACCTTTTAGCAATTATTGATGATAATTTTTCAATTATAAATAGATTTTCTATTTAAATTATTTTGTTTAAAGTTTTAATTAAAAATTAAAACAGTGAATGGCTCGTTTTTGCAGTGATGTTTGCCATGTGTGCACATCTACACTTGTCGCGCAGTGACGGTGGTTCACGGCGGCAGCCGACCGGTTGGCCTCGCTCACCCTCACCCTGCTCGCTTCTAGTCGTGTTGTTACGTTATTACGAATACGAACAGTTAGTGTCCGGAAATTCCCGAGTATTTACATTTTAGCACGAGTGTAAGCGAAGGTATACGAAGGACCAACGACAAACGACGAATCAAGTATATAATGGATACTGATTTTTATAGGTGATCCAATTTCAAATGATACTTGGTAATCGGATCATATAAAATAAAATACAAAAAGTGAATTCAGTTTAGTAATCGAAATTGTTGTTACTAATATCAAAATGATAGATCGATATTTTAGATTATTTTAGAATTAGAGCGTGAAGTTAGTGATGGATTTGAAATGAAAATAATAATTAAATTTAAATGTCAGCTAACTTAATTTTCATCTTGTGGGTATATACTCAAATGAAAGCTCTTGACGAGTGTAACATCAAGATGAGCTTATATATATATCTTTAAAAAAGTCATTATTTAAAAAAATACTCTGCAATTTAACAAGAGTCATTATTTAATAAAGCATAATTTATTTATTTTTAATAAAAAATTTCAGCTAAAAAATGACTAGAAGCAGTACCATGACCGACGAACCACTGGTCTCGACTGAAGTCTTCAAACAATCCACTGGAGCAATTCGTCCTTCTGGCAAAATCAGCAAAAGGCGCAGCAGGCGATCGAGGCTCCAGGAGTGAATGTCTTCGGAGAGTTGCTGGACATGCCGAACATAATAGAGCTGAAGAACGGGCCACACAGCGCGTACTGGAACACTTTGAATTTGTTCGCGTATCGAACTTACAAAGAGTACCTGGAGAACAAGGACAATTTGTTGGAGCTTACTCCGACCCAGAAGAAGAAGCTCCAGCACTTGATCATCGTTACATTGGCTGAAAAGTCCAAGTGTATTCCATACTCGGTTCTGCTTACGGAACTCGGGATTGATAATGTTAGAGAGCTCGAGGATCTTATTATTGAAGCTGTCTACGCGGACATTATTAATGGCAAGCTGGATCACAAGAACTCTCAGCTGGAAGTCGACTATGCTGGATTTGGGCGCGATGTTAAGCCTGGAGAGAATGAATTTGTTTAATTCATTCAAGTCAACTTTTATAATAGTTTGTGATTTCTTCTGTTTAACAATGTCTGCGAATACAACCACCGGTGTATCTTTAAATGACGTATTATTCACTGGACCTACCATTCAATCTGATTTATTCTCATTATTAATACGTTTTAGAAAACACCCTATCGTTATAACAGGCGATATTGAAAAAATGTACCGACAATTTTTAATTAGAAAAGAAGACCGAAAATACCAACGCATTCTGTGGAGGAACAGTAATAATGAAATACAAACCTACGAGTTAGATACCGTAACCTTTGGGATTAGAACGTCTCCATACCTGGCTATTCGATGTTTACATCAATTAGCCGACGATGAAGGACAACAGTTTCCTATAGCAGCAAAAGTTTTAAAAGAAGATTTTTATGTAGACGACCTACTCTCAGGAGCTGAAGATGTGGAAAAGGCAATAAAAATTAGACAACAAGTAACACAAATCTTAAGAAGGGCCGGACTCACAATTCGTCAATGGGCCTCAAACAACTCTGCTGTATTAAAAGACGTAGCTCAAGAAAATATAAACCCTCATTTGCAGTTGGGTGACTCAACATTAAAAACACTTGGTATATGTTGGGAATCCAGAACTGACAATATAATTTATACAGTTAAACCTATTGTATTTTTAGAACAAACCAAAATCACCAAGCGAAATATTTTATCAGAAGTCGCAAAAATATTTGATCCTCTCGGTTTATTAGCACCAGTTATTATTTTAGCAAAAATTCTCATACAAAAGCTGTGGGATGCAAAACTAGATTGGGATGAGTCTTTACCTATCCAACTCCATACAGAATGGAAAACCTATTGCACTCAACTTAAGATACTAAACCAGGTATCATTTCCAAGAACCATTGTTACACCGAACACAATACAACAACAATTACATGGATTCTGTGACGCCAGTGAAAAGGCATACGGAGCCTGCATCTACCTGCGAGTGACTGACCCTCAAGGAAAGATCCAGGTACTTTTAGTATGTGCCAAGTCAAAGGTAGCCCCTTTAAAGACCATTACCATACCTCGACTTGAATTATGTGGAGCTCAACTGTTATCATCTTTAATGAAAGCAACAATCAATGCATCTAAAATGACCTTTGACAATATACAGTATTGGACCGATTCTACCATTGTTCTTAACTGGTTAAATACCTCACCACATCAGTTAAAAACATTTGTATCCAACCGAGTTTCAGACATTCAAACAAAAACCGATGTTAAATCATGGAGACATGTTCCGACAAAAGACAATCCAGCAGATCTTGTATCAAGGGGAGTTTTACCAGCTGAATTTACCTCAATGAACATCTGGAAACATGGGCCATCTTGGCTAAGAGAACCTGCCGAAAAATGGCCTACATATCAATTACCATTGTTAAAAGAGATACCTGAGCAACGGAGAGCTACCTGTTTATTAACCATACCTCATGAGTTTGTGGACCTTACCAGATTTTCAAGTTATAATCGTATGATCCGTTCATTAGTTTATTGTCTCAGATTTGGTCAACGTTGTAAAACAAAAGGTCCTTTAACTATAAAAGAATTACGTGATATGGAGATTCGGATTTTAAAAGCTGTACAACAGCAAGCCTTTGCGAATGAAATAAAAGAATTACAAGAATCTGGAACACTCACCCATGATACCATAAAAATAGCAAAACTAACTCCAAAATTAGATGACCAACAAATTATGAGAGTAGGTGGACGTTTATCTTCATCAGACTTACCCTATAGTACAAAACATCCCATCATTTTACCAAAAAATAATCATGTTACCAATATAATTATTCAACATTACCACAATCTACATTTACATACCGGAGTCCATCAAACGTTATATTTACTCCGACGTAAATATTGGATTATCGATGGAAGAAGTCAAGTTTTTAAAGCTTTGAAAGGATGCCTACAATGTTGGAAAACCAAACCTCCAACACCTAATTACCTCATGGGGGACTTACCAAGACAACGAGTCACTCCCTCGCGCCCTTTCAGTCAAGTTGGAGTTGATTACTGTGGACCATTTCTACTAAAAGAGAAGAAATACCGTAATAGAAAAACAATAAAATCGTACGTTGCCGTATTTGTTTGCTTATCTATAAAAGCTGTCCATTTAGAATTAGTTACTGATCTGTCTTCTGAAGGTTTTATTGCAGCATTAAGACGCTTCGTTTCTAGACGCGGTTTATGCCAGGACATCTTTAGTGATAACGGAACTAACTTTGTAGGAGCAAACAATATCTTGAAAGAATTAACCGCAGAGCTTCACACTACTGATGCTCAAGATAAAATCAACGCTTACCTAACTAACAAAGGAATTCAATGGCATTTTATACCACCACGGGCACCTCACGTGGGTGGTTTATGGGAAGCCGCAGTGAAAAGCTTCAAACGTCATTTGATCCATGTAGCAGGACTAGAAAGGCTGTTTACCTATGAACAATTTAACACCCTAATAACCGAGATCGAAGCCATATTGAATTCGCGCCCTCTGACTCCCATTTCCTCTGATCCCAACGATCCCATAGTCCTTACACCTGGCCATTTTTTGATTGGTGATTCATTAACCAACTTACGCGACCGAAACTTCATCGATGTTCCTACTAATCGTTTAAACACTTGGGAACACATCCAAAAAGTCAAGCAAGACTTTTGGAAACGTTGGAGACATGAATATCTCACTGACATAATCCAACGAACCAAATGGACAAAATCCGAACCCAATATCACCGTTGGGACAGTGGTCATTCTGAAGGAAGATTACCTACCCCCTTCACAATGGGCCTTGGGACGAGTCATCGAGTGTTTACCAGGTGATGACGGTGTTGTTAGAACCGTTAGAGTGAAAACCGCGAAATCCTCATTTATTCGTAATGTGAAAAAATTAGCAATTTTACCAATAACTCCGACCGAACAAGAATAAAAAAAAAAAAAAAAAAAAAAATTGAAAGACATTTAGTAGAGACTTTAAGTGATTGAATTTTATCTTATTGTATTTCGCATTAATATTCTTGTATTGTATTGTTGTTCGGCTGACCCTCTCAACGGGGGGAGAATGTAGCTTCTCGGGAAACACAACACTTTTTACCGGAAAAAGTAATAAAAACAATACAAGAAAAATAATGACAACAATATAAGATATAAGAAAGACGTTTTCCGGCAGTAAAAAAAAAGAAACTGGGGGTGGGAGTTCTATAACGACGATGGTTGTGTATAAACGAAGTTAATAAATTACCAAGATTTCAATCGTCTAAGCTCGTCCACTGACTGTGCTCATCCAGTCGTACGCCTATCAGCCTTGTTTCTTGTTTCCAAAAAAAATCTCTTATGCTTATCTCCAAGAGATAATTCTCAACACATCCCTCAAAGCTTTTCATGCATACATCATTCTATAGAGAAAAACGATTAAAAAGGTTTGCCTACGTTTACTTGATATATATAAAAAAAAAAAAAGATACTTTGTGTGCCTGACCGCCATTGTTTGGACATTTTCTAACGATTTCAATGCATAAAAATTGACTTGTGAAAACATCAAAGAACCATCAATTCATATACTATACAAAAAACTTGAAGGTTAAGGCAGAAATAACTTCAGTATATATAATATAAGTTTCGATTTGACAGTCGTGACGAACAGATAAAGAATTAAGAAAAACGCCTTCGCCAACGTAGCATGTCTACAATGAATCCCGAGTAGTAAGTAAATACGATCTAATAATTTTTTGCTTTTTTCACTTTTTTACATTTTATTTATTACTTTATACTTTGAATAATGTAAATTGCAAATTTTTCCATTATACATTTGGAAATGTTAGTTTTTCTTTTGTGTTAAGCTTGAGTAGAGCCAGTGAAATCGAAAAATTAATCCAGTGTTAAGAGCATTGGCTAGATTATAAATTTTTTAGTTACTCTTTCTAGTTTCGTGTCAAAGCGAATAAGTGTATCATGTTATCCTAAGTTGATTTTGTTTTATTTATCAACTTTTTTATGATATACCTTGTCTTGTATTTCTAATAATGAATTCTATTTATTAATGTGAAAATTTTTTCGATTTTCTAACGATTTGTTCTTTTTTAATTTTTGTATCTTCAATTAAATCTTTTAGCGCAAGTCGATAATTAATCTAATAATTTTATGTCTAAATACTGTTTTTAAAGTCAATATTTACAAACAGCTGTTTTCAATGAGAATTTTCTTTTAAGTTATAATCTTTAGTTAATTATCTGATTCTTTTCAATAATGGAGTATCGTGTTTTGTATTTTTTTGCTGAACCACAACGTAATAACTTCTACATGATATTTATGCATCCTACTTTTTATGATAAAACAATGCCATGTATCTTACTACTAAAAATTTGATTGGATTTTTTCAGTGATTATCTTTTTAAACTCCTCCTTATTGGAGACTCTGGAGTAGGAAAATCATGTTTGCTACTACGTTTTGCTGATGATACTTATACGGAGAGTTACATTAGTACTATTGGTGTTGATTTCAAGATAAGAACTATTGATCTTGATGGTAAAACGATAAAACTTCAAATATGGGATACTGCTGGACAAGAACGTTTTCGAACTATTACGAGTTCTTATTACAGAGGAGCACACGGGATCATCATTGTTTATGATTGCACAGATCAAGACTCATTTAATAATGTTAAACAGTGGTTAGAAGAAATTGACCGCTATGCTTCTGACAATGTTAACAAGTTATTGGTCGGCAATAAATGTGATTTAAATGTCAAAAAAGTCGTTGATTACGCTACTGCTAAGGTACGGCAATTTACGAAAATTTGATCGTCTTTGAGAATTAAATATTTTTAAATTATTTATTATTATTATTATTATTTTTATAGGAATACGCTGATCAATTAACTATACCATTTCTTGAGACTTCAGCGAAAAATGCTATGAATGTAGAACAAGCTTTCATGACTATGGCAGCAGAAATAAAAGCACGAGTTGGTCCACCATCAGGTACAGATGCTGATCCAGCTCATAAAGTGAAGATAAATCAAGGTCGCGATGTTGATGCGCCTAAATCAGGATGTTGCTGAAATTTCTACCTATTAATTCCATTTAATTGACTGCGTAAGTACTCTTGTCAATTCACTCCATTCGAAGTATGTCCATAGGATTGGATAATCAAGCAATTTTTTCATTCTCTTGTCTCATTTATAGTTTTGAACAAATAAATAATAATTGTATTTCTATTAATTTAAATTATTATACTAAAATTCGAGATTTTTTTACAAACATCATAATAACTTCGTTCATGAGAATTATTACGGTTTAGGCTCTTCTTATTTTTAAATTTAAAAATTATCAAGGTCACACCACATATCAGCAATTTACTTCAAAATCACGGTGATGCCACAAGTACTTAACAGCTTAATCCAGCGATTCGGAACCTTTCGTTAGAGGTTGAAAGACTTACATTTCTTATTTATGTAGCAATGGAGTAGTGATTTTAATATTATTACTAGTATTAAAATATTTTCAAATTTATAATGAATGAAACTAGTATTTATGATAAATTTTTATAACATTCTAAAGAACCGTTTTCTGCCATTGCAATTTTATAAATTTCTTCTAAACAAATGAAAATTCCCATAAAAACGATCTGATGTTTGATAGATTATTTATAAAGTCTACCTCCTAGCAGAGCGCTTTTTTGAAAATTTTCGTTCGATAACTAGAATTTCGATTTATAAGTTTCTATTTACCATACAAGTGCAACAAAGATAGTATAGTTTTTTTCTATGAGTATTAGTCGAATAAAACATGAGAACAGTTCTCAAGTTTAATCATTCATACCTTAAGAACTGGAAATCACATGTCATTATAAATATTCGAACATGAGGAAAATCTTTTAGATTTAGTTTGACATAGTCATATCGAAAATTGTCGATAAATTAATATGTATCTGTCATATCTGATATGATCTGATATGTCCACATGTAATTTTTTGATATAGCTACATATGATTTGTGTTGAGCATATGTATTTTGAAAGTCTTATATATTCGCTGTAAAAAAAATTTCTAATCAGGTAGATGTGACATCTTGTCTGATATACAGTGAAAATTTTCAGAAATCAATATTTTTTAATTGATACCTTTACTTCTACTCTTAATTAAAATAAAACAATAAAAATAAAAAAGTTCTTACCTTATTTTTAATGTATAATGGTTCATAGTTGTACTATCGGTAAAAATTTTTCAAATCTATGTAGATCTGCGAGTATCTAACTTGTCACTTTTTGGCTGTATGCGTGTAGATATAAGGAAGTTGAAATTATAAATCAAGTGTATCCACTTAAGTGAATGTTGATCTATTTACATTCTATAGTCAAGAGAAGTTTTTTTTTATTCTTTCCATAGACTTGAGTACATCAAATTATATTTATGTAGATATTCATAAACCCACAAAAAATGTACAACTTCTAGATTAGTTATTGAGTTGATTTATTGTTATTTCCCTATCTATTTATTGTAACTTTCGTTACGAAAGCGTAACATTTCAAAATCGATTAAAAAAAAATATTAATCGGCTAATCAGCTTTAGCAGAATAATGAATTACACTATATTCTTCAACTGTTGGAAACCGAATATTTATATTTAATCATTATTTGAACAATTGTGTAAAAAACTTTCTAGGTCATCAAAAAATTCAACAAATACTTATAAATATTCGGTTCTTAATGGTTGAAAAATAGAGGGTAATAAAAGAAAAAAGAAATACCATAAAGTTGATACTTCACAGAATAATAAAGAAGAATAAAAAACAATCTTCAAGTACTAAAAAACAATAATAAAAGAATTAGGCTAAATGTATAGCAACATGACTAAATAAAATATTTTAAATTAGTTTAAATCATTGAATCACTTTTAATAAAATAATTTACACCATTATTAGCAAATATTTCTTTAAAAAAATAAAATTATGAATAGCTTAGTTGGAAAAAAAAAATCAATATTCGATGAAAAATATCAATCATTATAATCTCATCTTATTATAAAGCAGAACTTGGGGAAAATACTTCGAAAATAATCGAAGGGGTTGGAATTTTTGAAAATGTAGATTTTGAGTTATAAATATTATTAACCAAATGACAATCACTTTAAATAAGTTTGTTTTTTAATTCTGTAACTACATTTTTAAATGAAAAAAATTAATGCCTTTTTTATAAATATCGATATTTATTACTAATCTATCGTTAATAGAAAATTTTCCATCTGAAAATTAAAAAAAAATCAATAACAGTTAAAGATATACCTAAAGCTAAAAATTGGTTTATAAGTTGCTTGATACAATATGTCATAGAATATATACAAAACTAGATAAATTCAAGAAGTATCGCGTTAAAACCCCAGTAATTTGGTATAAAATGCCGTATATATTGTTAGATATCGACGTTCTAACTAGCAAATTGTCTAACTCCATTTTAGAGAATCTTCCATTTGTACGAAGAAACAATTAGTTTAATAGTATATTACACCCCTAGGGAAGTAAAGTAAAAAAGGTCTCAGATCACATGTAATTGTTGGCCGAGGCGAAGCCGAGGTCAACAAACATGTGATCTGAGGCTTTCTTATTCACTTCCTGAGGAGTGTATACTATTTTTTTCCCCGATGAAGGCGAAAAGCGGCAACTTCCATTAGCTCAGCGGGGCTAAAGTTGCCGCTTTACGCCCGGAGGGGAAAAAAATTTAATATCACTTTAAAAAACGATTTAATATCTAATAGAGGTATAATGTTTTAGTTTAGATCATTTAAATAATTTATAATTGGACTATTACTACATAAAAATGTTAAAAAATCACCCTCTAAAAAAAAGGAGAGGGGTTTCCCTCTATATATATATATATATTTATTTATTTATTTTAAGTGCTTTTATAAGATACATATCTTTGATACACTGACGATTGGTCGTTAGATAATTAAGTAACAGCAATAATTACATAAGAGAATGATAAAATTTTACAAAGAATTTACAAATTTATCAATAGTTGGAAACAGAAAAATTCATAAGGTTATATATATATAAAAATAAAAAAAAAATATATAAAAATATACAATAAATATATTAAGAATACGGGGCCGGTGATTAAGGCTGGGGAATAACACTACTGCTTTCAGGACATGGCTGCTTCGGGCTTATCTTCACCGCTTTAGGCATGACGACTCTCCGGAGTGCCCGTCCTGCCCTGGAGCCACTGAAGATGCAGAGCACGTTTTTTTCGAGTGCTCGCGTTTCAATCAACAACGTGAGGAGCTGGAGAAGATCCTGATGAAGACAATTCAACCAGAGACAATCGTAGAAGCAATGCTGTTTTCAGAAGCTGCCTGGAATGCAACGAACACTTTCGCCACAGATGTGCTTACAGAGCTGCGTTCCATCGAGAGAAAAAGAGCAAAAGACAGAATCTAGAAGTCAAGTTTTAGTATGACGCTGCATCGAGTCGCCACATATCCGGGCCAGCATCTATGCCTAGAATCCGTAAAAAGGATTCCCCCCCCCTAAAGGGAAAAAAAAAAACACACACACACACAAACACACACACATGTTGCTGTGGTGATTGTCGCGAAGCACCTTGAAGAGATAAATCTGGCCTTCGACATTACATTTGAACGGATTAACTTATGGATGGATACGGTGAACTTACAACTAGCTAAGCATAAAACCGAAGCAGTACTCATTACCAGCAGGAAAGCGATAGAAACCATCAAGTTGCAAGTTAGAGAACATGAGATCACATCACAACCGTACATTCGGTACCTGGGAGTGATGCTTGATGCCCGACTCAATTTCAAGCTACAAGTCGAACATGTGAATACCAAAGCATCAATAGTTAGAGCGAGCTTAGCACGACTGATGCCCAACGTTGGTAGACCAAAGCAGAGCAGAAGACTACTTCTGTCATCAGTAGTAACATCTGTGCTCACATATGGTATATCCATTCGGGCTGACGCATTAAAAACGCAAGAATCTTGGAGAAAAGCGGATCCAATTTACAGACAGAGCGCTCTGAGAGTTGCCAGTGCCTTCCGCACAATATCAGAAGGAGCAGTGTGCATCATTGCTGGAACCCTGCCGCTTAGAGTACTAGCAGAAGAAAGACGGGCCCTTTACCAACGAAAAAGGTCAACTACACTGAGCCCCGAAGAACTTAGAACAGAAGAACGGCAGCACAGCATCTCACGATGGCAACTTAAGTGGGACGCCGCAGCAAAAGGAAGATGGACATACCGCCTCATACCAAAGATCGATGTTTGGCTGAACCGAAATCATGGCGAAATCAACTATTATCTAACGCAGATGTTGTCTGGACATGAGTGCTTTCGAGAGTACCTGCACCGCTTTAAGCATGACGATTCTGCGGAGTGCCCGACTTGTCCAGGAGTTATTGAGGACGCAGAGCACGTTTTCTTTGCGTGTCCACGTTTTGATCCTCAGCGAAATGAGTTAGAAAGGATCCTGAACCGGAGAATCCAACCAGAGACAATATTAGAGACAATGTTGTCAAGTCCAACTGCTTGGAACGCTACAAACACTTTTGCCACAGAAGTCCTTACAGAGCTGCGTTCCATTGAAAGAAAAAGAGCGAATGACAGAAACTAGAAGGAAGAAATAACATTTTAGCCACCAGAAGGAAGAGCGGCAGCTAATTCCTCCCCCCGCGAAGAAATGCCTTACGGCGGTACCATGGGAGATCAGAGGATAGAAGAGAAAGGGGTTTAGGGTTTAGTAGGTAGGGGCGTCAGCGTCGAGTTTTAGTGTGACGCTGCGTCGAGTCGCCACATATCCAGGCCAACAACTATGCCTAGAATCCGTAAAAAGGATTCCCCCCCCCAAAAAAAATCAAAACACACACACACACACACACACACACACACACACACACACACACACACATACACATACACACACACACACACCAGAATTGGGGGCTGAGGAGAAACTGCTACCGGACGCGTCTTCCCGAGCGGATGGGAGAATGCTCGCTGTCCTTGGACGACGCTTAATCTCTTAGTTGATGAGGTACAGCGGGTAG